TTCCATGTCCCTAGACCTCAAAATTTCTAAATTCTACAATTCTCAAATTTTGCAAATTCTCAGGTCCCAAAATTCACAGATGCTCCATTACCAATACAAATTCTCCAATTCCTAAATTTTTCAAATTCCATAAACTCCATAAATTCCACAAATTCCACAAATTCCACAATTTCCTAAATTCCTAAACTCCTAAATTTTCGAGTTCTCACGTCCACCAAAATTCTAAAAAAAAATATATATATAAATCTCTCCCAGTTCCACAGTCCTGCAAAATACCTAATAGACGTAAAATATACTATAAAAAATTATCAAAAGAAAGTACATGTATTAAACAAATAGGAATTGATGAAAAGTGAAAAAACATTGTCCAGAAGTACAAAAATTACAGGGTAAACAGGTCACGTATTCAGTGTCGTGTTAAGGCTATTCAGAGTGTTTCGTTTTTTCTGGATTTTATGTAGGACGTTATTCCGGGCGGGAATAATACCGAGAACGTAACGAAGCAGTTGGCCACGAAATGCGAGAGTCGTGCTCTTTTGAAAAATTGAAGGGTAATACTTTATAAGGTAACAGGCAATGCATTTGTCCCCTCTTATCCCCTTTGCTTACTCCTTTCTTCATCCCTGTAGACTCTGAAAATCGGGTTTGCAATACAATGAGGGCTTTCAGGGGGTAGCGCGCAATGTTGGCACTTGCCAACCGAACGATAAAGTTTCCTCTGAATTTCCCGCAACGCCCCTGGCAGGAGACGAGTTTACGTGGATTTGCTCCAATCAGAGTTTGTTACGTACACACACGGCACATAGTTACCAATGAAAACACTGACAACGATGACATTTTCTGTGACACGGACGGTGCCGATACATACCCTTCCTTTCTTGACTTTGCTTCGAACTTCTACAGATTTTCTGAGATATTACTTTTCGGACCAACAATCGTAGTAATGTATCGTGGTGGACATTTTCGTTCTACTTTTTAACTTTTGACTGAAGGTAGAGGGGCTTGATAAAATATTTTTTTAAGAGAATTATATTGGAAAATTGTTTATAGGAAAATGTGGTTTACTTTTCTGTGATTTTTACAATTGATGTATGACAACTAATAAATATTAAGAATGTTAAAAAATTGATATGTCACAATTTTTATGATACTTTGATGTTATCAGACTGTGACAAGTTTCTAATGTTTAAAAATATTTATATGCAACAATGTTCAATATTTTAAATGTTACAGTCTAAGTAAAAAAATTAATCTTTAATGTCTGTAATAATTCACATAACTTACAGTGTGTCATACAAACAATTTATAAAAAATTATTCCACTATGACTACTCTCGTGAATACACATACACATATGTAGATATACACACACATGAATATATTAGTAATTAAAAAAATATAAAAGACAGTATAATTCCAAGTAGTGCTGATTGAATAATTGCAAGTATTATTGATAAAATAATTCCAAGTATTGATGTTCCGAGATTGAAATCGAGATTTAAATCAAAATTAAATAACAGCATCTTCAATAAACATTCTCATAGCACATTCACATCAATATGAGGACATTAACTCAATAGACAGAGTCAAAGGTTTAAAGATTTCATGCCTATTTCGAGCCCTATTTGAACAGCCTGTATTCCACGAAAGACAATGAACGGATTCCATAGCTGTACGATATCGCCAGTTCAGTTGTTCAAACAACAAATCCGATAAAATACCGAGTGAGAGGATTATACATAGTACGCTCACTCATTCATTTGCATATGAATAACATTTGTAAACGATACACAACTGCTCTGAGTATAATGAAGTTTACTATTCTAATCTGACGTATAGATTGCAATTGCATAATTTTGCACGATGATGTATTGCGTTGATCAACAAGCTTTCTTCGTTGGAATTTGTGGTGCTTGACATTTTAAATATGATTTAATTTGTTGGCGATTCAATATGTAGTAATATAATATATCAACATTTTTAAATGTATTATTGTGTTGATGTGCAATACGTCACTAGTAATTATTGTAATAATACCATAATGAATGCTTAGAAATTTAAGCATGGTATAGTAATCCAATTCGTGATAATGTAACACTTGGTAACATGATGCGTAGTAATATAATGCGCGATAATACAGTGTGTAGAGGTACGACGTGTGGAAATATAACGGGTGAAATTGTAACGCGTGGAAATATAATCTGTGGAAATGCAACGGGTGGAAATATAATGCGTGGAACTGCAATGCGTGGAAGTGCAATGCGTAGAAGTACAATACGTTGAAATACAACGCATGGGAATATAACGCGTGGAAGCACATTCCGTGGAAATATAACGCATGGAAGTACAACTCGTGGAGGTATAACGCATGGAAATACAGCGCGTGAAAATCCAACGCGTGGAAATACAATGTGTGGAAATCTAGCGCGTGGAAATCTAACGCGTAGAAATACAACCCGTAGAAATACAGCGCGTGCAAATACAACGCATGGAAATCTAGCGCGTGGAAATATAACGCATGGGAATATAGCGCGTGGAAATATAACACATGGGAATATAGCGCGTGGAAATCTAACGCGTAGAAATGCAACGCGTGGAAATACAGCGCGTGCAAATACAACGCATGGAAATCTAGCGCGTGGAAATATAACGCATGGGAATATAGCGCGTGGAAATACAGTGCGTGGAAATAAAACGCATGGAAATATAACGGGTGGAAATACAGCGCGTGAAATTACAACGCGTAGAAATACAACGCATGGAAATACAGCGCGTGGAAATACAGCGAGTAGAAATACAACGCGTGAAAATAATAAAACGATCCAAAAACCTATCCAATCAGCACAAGCAACAATTCCAGTAGCAATTTCAGGAAAGTTCCAAAAAACAATAAAAATCTTTATTTTCGTGACAAGTTTGTAAAACTGTTTCTCGAAGCTATTACGGCACCTCCCAGCAAATTTCCCATGGAACTCAAAGAGCCGTGCCCTTCTGCCCGTCGATTTCGTTCGCAATCGGCGAACTTCTTCCGGCCGCGGAATTAAATCACGAATCGTTCTGGACTGCAGTTGGAACAGAAAGTTCGAAGACCGGAAGAAATAACCAGGAAGTGTAGCTTCGCCGCGTAATGTTAGCTGCGAACGATGCGGAAACTTGTACACCCTCAGCCTCGGGGCTTTCCTTTGAATTTCAATGTCCGATCCTCCGAGAATCACAAACGTTTCTTCGAAGACTAAGCACCAAGACCGACGTTTCATTTTCCCAAGGGACGTTCAATTCAAATCCTTCACCCTTTTCTACGCGTGATCCTTTGAATACGTGTGAAAACGATGCGTGATTCGTTGGCTGCCGAGAAAAGGGCTTGGAAGCTTTTCATTCGAGTATATACGTCTTCTAGAAGCACGAATTATCGTGATAAATCTTGGTTTCGTGTCTTGGAAAGTTTTTATGGTTGTACTCGATTCTTTCAGTTTCTACGCGTTATATTTGCACCCGCTGTATTTCCACGCGTTATGTTTCCACGCACTGTACTTCCATGCGCTGTATTTCCACGCGTTAAATTTTCATTCGCTAGATTTCCACGCGTTGTATTTGCACGCGCTGTATTTCCACGCGTTGTATTTACACGCGCTGTATTTACACGCGTTATATTCCCACGCGCTAGATTTCCACGCGTTGTATTTTCCTGCATTAGATTTCTACGCGCTGTATTTCCACGCGTTAGATTTCCATGCGCTGTATTTCCACGCACTGTATTTCCACGCGTTAGATTTCCACACATTGTATTTCCACGCATTGTATTTCCACGCGTTATATTTCCACGCACTGTATTTCCACGCGTTGTATTTCCCTGCGTTAGATTTCCACGCGCTGTATTTCCACGCGTTGTTCTTTCATGCGTTATATTTCCACGCATTGTACTTCCACACGTTATATTTCCACCCCTTGCATTTCCACAGATTATATTTCCACGCGTTATAATTTTACCCGTTATAGGACGCACCTTATGCATCTTATGTTCTTCGTATTGTACAACTAACGACGCACCAGGTGTATCTCGTAAAGTGGGATGCAAGGATCAGAGTATAATTATAACAAAAAATTTAAGTAGAAGGATTGTTGGTAATAATTTGTAAAGAATGTTGATGGATAACATTTTTATTAATCATTAAAGCACTACATATAGTAATACATGTCTCATAAAACGTTTTGTATCGGAGAACAATTACTATTAGAATAACTTTCGTCACGAATTGCTCGCGTAATTATAGAATTTACTTAGCTGCACGGGTTGGTCCCAACGGATTTGAATATCTCACTCAGCGTTCCTTTCGTTCTAATAATCCCCTTCTTCAGTTTGTGTAAGAAAATAAGAAACCAAAGGCAAAATTGAAGGCAACCGGTCGATCGATACAGCTCAAATTGGACGTAATATTCGTGCATATACGTGAGTAACATGTATGATAGGGTAAACTATACGATTGACACCTTTCGATAAATATAAAAATTATTGGAATGAAACCAGAGGACGGATTACATTTTGATTACAGATTTTTGGTAGTAAAATATATTGTAAAAAAAATACAAAAATTATGAAAATATTTGTCGTAATTAATAGAATTTTATGGAGGAAGATAAAATATTAATTCTGAAGAAGTTTGATATAATTTACTTTTCCGGAAAGCACTAGTTTAAATAATTTAGTTGGCACATTTAGCATGGCACCATTTTTACTTCTTCCGTTTAAATTATTAATTGACTTAAAATCTAATACTTGGACCTACGTTAAAAAATAAATGACTCTAATGAATTTACTAAAATTCATAGTGGTAATTAGCACAGTGTCAAAGTATAGTGTACCCCAATTTTTTAAAGAACAATTTACTTTCGATAAATCGTCTTGGACGTTTCCTTCGATCCGTTATAGACACCGTTAAGGAACATCAACGTTGCACGTATAATGAAGCAAGGCCATTTCTAATTACGTGTACGATCAAGAATCTAATTATTCCTCTTTTGGGACGAATTGAATTTATACACACGATACATAGGCGAATACGGTGTGACTTCTCCGTCGCTGTCACCCTCGTCTCCCGTGGGATCGTCTCTGTCCGGTTTCGAGGATCGATATATTTGACTTTTCTCGTACAACGGCACTGCAAGAAACGCGAAGTTTATTTTCGTCGGTTCGAGTGAAATTTCCTGGTAAATAAACGTGAAACGACATTATTGGATTGCAGTACACGAAGCATAGAATACCATCCTTTATTCTTTACCATTTTCATATTATTTGTTAACATTCTAACAATAAAATAGTTCCGAGGGCAACTGCACGAAAAACAAAATGGTCACTTCGTGTATTACGGTCCAACAGCTTTAACTGGGACGTGAGCGAAACTGTTGATTACAGAAGACACGTAGAATAGCGTGGCAGAGCTTTCTAACTGTCCAGGAATATTTACATTCTCGAACGGGAGAATAATGTAAACCGTCGACTGGTACTTTCCGCAAATACCGGTAATTAACATGTAGCAACATGGCTTTATACGTACGGGACAAACTCGGTTTCGCAGTTTCCTCTCTGTCGACGTTTTTCGACGAAGACATGTCGTTGGCGTGCTCATCCGCGGCCACGGTACACAATGCTTGAAACGGCAAACCCTCCGTCACGTCGTCCGTTTTTTGCGGAGTCTCGTAATTTTGGAGCGGTATCGTGCCGATTACTATACTCGTTCGTAGCTTCAGGTTCTTTTGGAACATTCTGTAGTACCACTCGCTTACGTCTACGCAGGCTTCGACCTTTCGGAAAACACAAGATTTTTATAGATTGCGATGGACTGAAATAACATCTACAACCCCTCATCATCGCATTAGGGTCACTTCTTTTAATCATTTTTCATTTTTCCTTGTCTGTAATAAATGATGTCATAGTTTTATATCATTGTTTTTAGTTATTGCATAATTATTGCGGAATCACAGTTGCGATATGAAATTTTGAGGTTAGGTCTTGCATTATACTCTCATGTTTCAATGTGGTCCTAACCCGATGCCTAGGGGCTGTAATGATTTTACGATTCAATTAATAAAAGTGTGAAGATGTTGATCATTGTAAAAGTCTTGTCCAAATATGTGAATGTAAATATACCATGTGTGAATACAACACATAATATTATGTGAATATAGAATGTATTGACTCTTCAATTTGAATCACCCTGTATTTCAATCATTGTGTATCTTTTCTGCAGACAATATTTAGAAAAAAGTGTCGTATTCCTCTCGTAAGATTTTTACAATTACCAAGATTCATTAAGAACGAAAAGGGTGCAAAGAATATAGGACGTGTGCAGGTCAGAAGAAGTATTGATTTTTGCTATCTAGGATAATAAAGTAGAAACGGAGATGTACAAAGGGATTGAAGCAACATTAATTATAATGTATGGAGGTCCTGGAGTGCAGCTAGATTTAAGACAGTCTCACTTTAAGCGTGTACAGAACGTCGATGATGTTGCAGTGGATCATCCCTGTGGGTGGTACTGCAGGAACGTCAAACGTGACGTCGTACGTGTCAGAATTTTTATTAACAGGCTGTTCTACTTCAACTACGATCTCTTTGTGCTTACGAGACTTTTCCGTGGAATGATAAGTCACCACCTAAGAAAATACGGAGCATTTAGAGTGACCGATAACGGTGAAACAGAGATTCGGTAAAAAGGAACGTATCGGGAGCATGACCCAGAAAGTTTTACTGCATCACGCTACTACATCTCGCAAAAAATTCCGAGAGATTATGAGCTCTCATTTTCGCTAAAGTTACTGTAGCTGTTTAGGATCATTGGCGTAATTAGGATTTTTATCTCGGGTGGACATTTATTACAGTACATTGCTTCTTTTCCTGTAGAATTACATTATTAAAATTCAACAAGTATTTAGTTTAGTTGAAATTCAGTTAAAGTATGATATTAGTGTTATTGTTTGTATTTGTAGCATTGTAATATTTTAAGAGTCAATGCCACATCTTGCATTTTAAAAATTATTTGCTTCACTAAAATACTGTAACTTAGTTCCAATAAGGTTTACATTCTAATTGAATTAATCTAATCTAACGCTGTAACTCAGTTCTAATCAAGTTAACATTCTAATCTACTTAAACCTAGTTACACCAATGTTGTAACATGCTAGTAAAAATCATGCAAGCTCGCTACGATAGAAACAGTTACTTTTTTCAGAACGATTCTGATTTTTTTAAGCGCCACCGTAGAAGGGTTGTTCATGTCAATCTTTATGGGTATAGTTTGCCCCGGAACGTAGCCATGAACCGGAAGGGACATGGAAACACTGAGCGGCTCCGTTTGGCCCATGTACACTTTGGACTGTTGAACATTTATAGGCAACTGAAATATCATTTAAAAAGGTTGAAGTTAAAATTGAAAGGAACGAAATCACGCCATGAAAGCAATATCGTTGTTAGATTTCTACTCACAGGAGCGAGAGGATCTCGATTAAGGTCAAGAATGGGAGCGACCGTGAATGGAATAATATTGGTGGAAAACCGATAAATGGTCGTTACGTCCAACAATGCCCTAATCGAGTACCGTACACGTCCGTATCGGCCCTCGAAACTGCACGGTAGGTTCTCCGGAAGCGTCAGGCTGAACGGGTAGACGCCACCAGTTATCATAGACTTTTCTTTACCATCTATCCGTGACGGGAATATCTGTTAATCCGACATCCGAGTTTCGTGTAGCAATCACGACCAGCCGTGTGTACTCACCGCCTACGAGATAAGTTTCCACGTGGAGGTAATTCTCGAATGCTGAAAACTTGCGACGTATGCCCGCTGATCGATCCGTGAAATACACTTGAGCCTCACCTTTGCATTTCAGTCTGATCCCTGCGTAAAACGACTGCCATTTCACACCCTCTCTTATACTCCTCCACAAGTCATGGGACATTTAATTCCTTTACGTTTATATTTTAAATCAATATTGATCAATGTATGTCCATAAATCTTCTGATACAGAGTCTCCTGATACATCTCTCTAATTAAATACGTCTACGTTCTAAAATTCTACACGTCAAAATTTCTCAATGGAGTTATCCACTGAGTAGAAATTTTTACAGACATACTTGACGTCATTATAATGTATATATATATAATTATCAATACAGAGTGTGAAAGAAATAACTCTGTAATGCAGATCAATTCTGTAGTATCATAATATTATTCTATGATATCCCACGATTTATAGAAAGAACCAGTCTTGAAATTTAAAATCTAATTTCATTTACAAGACCTGAATAATAGATACAGATATATTTTCCAATTTAACTAAAAGTCTTTCTAGAAAATCAAATTAGAATTCATATTTCGAGATAAATGATGGTTGATTTAACAAGCTGTACATTTAAGAGGGTACATTTATTCGATTGCTGTTTGTTGTACAAGCGTTCCTGCAATACCAATATCACGTTGTATATGGTCTTATTGCGTGTGCACGGCGATAATAAACTTTTTAGGTCACCCGTTATGTAACGCGATCGATGGTACGTTTGGCAGGCGTTCGACTCGAACAGGAGAGAGATTTTTGTGATTGCGAAGCGACAACAAGGGTAAACAACGCGAGAATAAATATAAAGTTGGTCGTGCCTCGTTACAACAAGCCAATCGAATATCTTCTCGTTTTTCCGCGTCGACGTTGCTCTCGATATATCGAAGTCGAGAGATAGCAGCCACCCTCTGATTGTGAGGGGTGAAACTTAAAACCAATTGTCTCGTTTCGTGGCAAATTTATATGGCTGAGTGCTTTTGTTGATCAATTTCTTGTATACTTTGTAGATACATTTATTATATTTATTTGTTTATGATGTTTACAAATGTTACATTAATTCTCTATATTGATTTTGAACAATTTAAAATGTAAAGCAATCAGTATTGTAATTTTATATTGTAGTAATTTTACTTTACAAGCTATTGAAGAGGGTTAACAGTATTTTATCGAGAAATGGTATTTCAATAATTTATACAATAGACTTCCATATCAGAACTTTGATATTTTAATAATTTGACGAAAGAAAATGAGATGAAAGGAATATGTACTTTTTAAGCTTGAAACTTGTTGAGTGTTATTAATATTTAAATTGAGAGATCTTACCTAGAGCGCTCACAGGTTCATCCACGTCCAGGTGAACATTCCCTGAAATCTTTTGTCCACTGTAGTACACCTGCTGAGTATGATCGAACGCGATGTCGATACGTCGGAAGCCAATGCTAATCGTAACAAAACGTATTGGTAAAAAGGTTCCATCGTTGTTGATCGATGGAAAAATAATTTATATCCATCAGTTTCTATATGTTTCTATATGTTTTCTATATTGAATCTACCAAGATTCGTTCATCTCTGTTATTCTACATTTTTCAATTTTTAATCTTTTACTCTAAAAATTTTGAATACTTTCACACTTTCAAATTCTCATTTTCTTATCTCGAAGCTCTACAGATCTTAATTGTCATATATCTAAATTTGCAAATTTCCAATCTTTAAATTTCTAAATCCCCAGATTTTCACTTCTCTAGATTCTCAAGTTTGCAAACTGGCACATCTGCAAATTCTCAAATCCCTAGATACTCCAACCCCCAAATTGTCACATCTCCAAATTCAAACACCTTCAAACTCTCAAATTTCAAATTCCTAAATCAGCAGATCTGCAAGTTACCCGACTATTCAAATTCCAAATTTTAAAATATTTAAATTCAAAAGATCTAACAAACGATTGGTGCTTCCCCTACGTCACGATTCTCCCTAGGGACACCACGCTCGAATTACACAATTAACTAAAAGCACCAAAATTTCAAATACCAAAAACAATTTGCATTATCTAACTTTATACCTTTTAGACAACGTAGCAACGATGGATTGATCAGCCTCCGTTTGATCTGTCTCCTCCATGCTGACACGTGTACCTTAACCTATTTCATCAAAAGTCCACCCGAATTTAAAAATACACAGGCACCATAATATTCCCAAAATAATTTACGAATCTAAATCACTCATTTCTACACGAACACCTTAGAATTACACAATCTGTCCACAAACATCCGATGTCACGTCACGTCACATCGAAGACAATCTTCATCCCCGGTTTTCAGAATCCTCGAAACAGAATTCGGGGCCGCACGTGAAATCCAGGAAGAAGTGAGACGTACATGCCCAGTTATCTTGCCCGGACGAAGTGAGATGTTTGTTGACAAGATACCAAAATTGCAGCGAGTCCTGGAGCGATGGCGACGCATGCGTCAGTCGGTTCGCCAATATCGTGGCGACATTCTGTCGCGTTAGTGGAGAACAACCTTTGCTCTTTCACCTCCTCTGGCCCGGATAATCGAAGGACTCTCGTTCGGACTGCAACCTCTTCCTCACAGGTGGATGCATGCCGCAGTGGCGTAACTCTGAATTAAGGACGGGCAGCGGGTAATAAGGGCACCCGTATCGACCAATTGAGGATCACCAACGGTGACTTGCAGCGTTTAAATTTTGCCGCATCGCTGACACTTTTGTGCCGTCTCCGATGCGCTCCTGTGTTCCGCGTGACGCCGCATGAAAATCACCTAAGTGTCAGCAACTTTTAACCCCATTTCGCATCGACGCTTTTTGATTTAAACGGTAGGGGATTTAATGAAGGCTGTTGTGACTCCTCCTTTCGCTTTTGGGGTTCTTTGTATTTTGTGGAGCTGTTAGTATTGTCTGTAGATGTTCTGGCAGAGGTTTGAAGGAGTAGTTGTGTCAATAGATGCGTTTTATCAGCAAGAGATGTGGAGATAATCATGGTACTTGTGGATTGCTAGTCACCTAACTTAAATGTCTACATTTGAAAGCTTATGCTACTTGTTTTATTTACAACTATCCAATCAGTCAAATTTGTGAATGTATCAAGGAAGTAACATTTTATTTTTGTATTTTATTTATAACATTTTATATGTGTCATATGTGAGAGTAACATTTTATATGTGTCATCGCTAAAGGCACAATAAAGTGTTTACACAAAATGCTTCAACAAGTACCTTGATTATAAAAGTTCTTTAAAATTAAGTGTGTAGTACAGGGTACATGTTGAAAATTGTTGTCACATTGACGTTATAAAAAGAAACATTTTTATTGATATGATACAGAAGGGTATTTGAAGGTTTTGTTAAAAATGGCGACACGAAGATAAATTTATGATACCATTCGTTGAATTTCACATTAAGAATTTACATATTCTTCTGTCTCCTTATTTCAACGTAATTCTCCTCACACTCCCTTCTAGCGTTAGTTTTACATAAATGGGAGAAATTTCAAATTCCAACGCGGGAGCCAGAAGACATCGCTGAAAATCCCTTTGACTTCCTTCCCTCTCGGTCCTAATTAATGCATCGTAAATTCAAACGAACTTAGTACCTTTGGACAAGGATTATGATATTGCGGTACCATTTTCCAAATTAAGAACGCATGCAGTGTGTTTGCGTTGCATGCTTGCATGTCGAATGCAGCGAATTTGAGCGCGTCGCGAAAATTCAAGAAACCGACCAAAAGATCCTCATTAACGTCCACTCTACGTTTTCGTAGATCCTCAAAAAACGAAAGGTAGAATTATGATTTTGTGATCACTCGGTATCTTTGAGTATAGACCCTTCAAATTTTAAAGCTCTTCAGGATCTTTTTTTCTCTTTTAATTGGGGAATTTTCAGATTTGAATAGTTTCTTTTCCTACCTTTGATTTTCTTCTTCCTTATACTCGAATTTAGAAATAAATATTTGATGCGTTACAAATGTAGAAATTTAATGATGCCAAAATTTACTTCTACCATGTATTCGAATTTGGAAATAAATATTTGATCTGTTACAAATGTAGAAATTTAGTAATGTCAAAATTTAGAAATTTGATAATTTCAAAAATAAAAAACTTGTTAATTTAGAAATTCAGAAAAAATTTCCCTTCATTGAATTTTTCACAAAATGATGTCTAAAATGATTCCTTACAGTATTACAAATGATGCTAAATAGATGGCAAATGAGATACTCCATTTATGTAACCTGCTTCAGATGTAACCCAGCGCAGATTCTCAGGTATCGAGGTGAATGGTAAACCTTCTCTTCCCACGTCTTTCCCCTAGGGACGGTCAGATATTCCGCATCGTATAACTCCACAAACGAATGATTTTGATGAAATGTCTCTGCGCCAGATATCCACATTCGCTTTTCTAGCGAAAGTAACGCGAATGACATTGCATAACTGACTGTGCATTTTAAACAGGAAATTAAACCACAACTTCTAATTACGAAACACGTGAACTATATAGCATAATTATCGGTTTACTCTCGTGGTAACTGTTAACCAACATGCAATCAATACAACTTCCATGTGCGGGACTCTTTTATAGACAGCAAAGAAACTAATTAAAAATGTGTCACGATAAAGTGCGGCGTAATATAAGCATATAATAAACAGAATATTTTAATAGGTTCAGTAGCTACTGAACTTAACAAATTAAATGAAGAATTAAATGACACAAAATCAAATTTGTGATATAGGAAAACAGTCCTGACTTCGATGCATGTGTTAATCCGTTGTTTACTTCATGGATATAAAGAAACTAATAAAAAATGTGTCACGATAAAGTGCGGCGTAATATAAGCATATAATAAACAGAATATTTTAATAGGTTCAGTAGCTACTGAACTTAAGAAATTAAATGACACAAAATTTGTGATATAGGAAAGTCTTGACTGCGATCCGCGTGTTACTCCGTTGTTTACTCCATGGATATAAACCTTGTGTAAAGGTTGCGATTAAAAAGGGAAAAGGGACAGGTTCGATGTAAATTCACGTCACGCACGAATAACCCTGTAACGTCATCGAGTACCTTCTTGGGCACGGTATCAGGCTTGTATCTGTGTAGCATGGTAACCAGATATTGGCCAGAATTAATTACATGCGCTCTGGCAACGAGCGTTGCCGTGATAGAGGCGACTTTAATTAGTGATCTCGACGGTTCTTTTCGAAGACGGTAAATCAGCCGGCTCCTCGTCTTACACGTAACAAGAAAATTTCACAATAATGCACTGCCATCGATCGTCGGTTCTATCATTTGAATGGATCGTAAAAGGGTTAGGGGAGGGGGGTAGCTCCATTGGTCGACGTATCGTACACATCGCAATAACTCTTCCACTTTCTGCTTCGCTCATTGTGCACCGTTAAAGAAACCGCGGTGAACGAGTGCACTCGGGATTCTAGATCGAATTTCAAGCAGCTTACGTACGTGTACGTTGATTTAATGCGAGTGCGAATCCCAGGAATTCGATACACAGGCTATCGTATGCCCTGCTGTTACGTTAAATTATCGTTTTATGTTTCGTGTTGCGAACAGTCGCGTCAACGAGAATCATATTCTGTGAGGTGGTTGAGAGGTGATGTGGGGATGGAAAGATTTAGGAGGGCAATTAGGGATATGGTAGAGAATAGGGGATGATTAGATTTGATTAGAAATTTATTAGAAATATAAGATACAGGAATATGTGTAAGGATCTGGGGATGTAGGAATTTAGGAATTTAAAAATGTAGGGGTGCAGAAATATGAGACTAGCTATTCAAATGTGATGTGGAACCTGGTGATCTGAGGAACTAGGGATTTAGAGATATAGTCGATATGGGGATTTAGGAATATAGCAATCTGGGAATGTGGGGACCTGTGAGTGTTTGGATATGGGGATGTGGGAATCTGGAAATTTTTGGAATCTAGGAATGTGGGAATCTAGGAATGTGGGAATCTGGGAATGTGGGAATCTGGGAATGTGGAAATCTAGGAATGTGCAAATCTAGGAATATGGGAATCTAGGAATGTGGGATTCTAGGAATATAGAAATCTAGGAATGTGGGAATCTAGGAATGTGGGAATCTAGGAATATGGGAATCTAGGAATGTGGGAATCTAGGAATGTGGGAATCTAGGAATATGGAAATCTAGGAATATAGAAATCTAGGAATATGGGAATCTAGGAATGTGGGAATCTAGGAATGTGCAAATCTAGGAATATGGGAATCTAGGAATGTGGGATTCTAGGAATATAGAAATCTAGGAATATGGGAATCTAGAAATATGGAAATCTAGGAATATGAGAATCTAGAAATATGGGAATCTAGGAATATGGGAATCTAGAAATATGGGAATCTAGGAATATGGGAATCTAGGAATATGGGAATCTAGGAATCTAGGAATCTAGGACTCTAAGAGTCCCAAATCCTCAAATATTCAACTCCTGAACTCCAAACCCAAATTTTCAAGTTCCCAAATTTCCAAACCTTCAAATCCCTAAATTCCCATATTTCCACAGCCCTAACAAGGATCTAGGAATCCAGAATATCCAGAAACACATATCTCCATAAAACCCAAGCACACATTCCCCTTTTATAACCTAAATTGTAACAGTATACTACCACGTATTGTTCCACTCTATTCGACTGAATAGAGTGCCTGTTAATCCATATTCAATGTATTTCAAACTAAAATTCAGTATTAACTGTAATAAAAATCCAGTATTCGTATAAATTGAAATATTTTATATTAGATTTAATATTCAGTCACAGAATAGCGACGCTTTTACATCTGATAAAAATCCCTTTAACGCTAAAGCTCGTTACATATTCGCTTTGTATTCGACGAATCCTTTCAAATGTCCTTTATCAACTGATACCAGAGAAAGATGATGTTAATCCTGGCTAATAATGCCTAGTCTTGTCGCGATAGATATTTCAGTCTAAAGGCAAAGCTCCCATCTCGTATTATTAATGCCGACATGATGGTCAAAGTACTGGCAGTAGAAATTCTCGTTAGATACGTCTTCATCGGATTAAATTGGAATTACTCCTTCCTTTACTAACGATTTATCTCGTGCCATCGATAAAATGAAATATTTCAACAAACAAATTTAATCCTCTTTTAATAGTACCAAAACGTATGTAGTATTATCCTGACATATTATTTATGTCTCGAATAATTTTCATTGATCATAAATTTTCAACGGGTTTCCGACAATTTATTGCACTT